CTGTTGCTTTCTAAACATATGCTGTAGTTGGAGCATGATTGATGCTTACAGAACTATGGCCATTGATCTGCAGAGCTTGATTTCCGATTCCCAGTTGGAGCTCCTTTGCACGGAATCAATGCATTCTTGACCACAAATCAACTTAAGGTAATTATCAATTTGGATGAAAATGTTATCTTGGTTTAGACTGGTGAAAAACTTGCAGTCTGGAAATGGAGATGCTAAGCATTCTTGATAATAAGTTTAAAATACATTTGGTTTCTATTTCATGGTGCTATTTGGTTGCAGACCTATGATAAAGCCAGAAATGCAGTGGCTCTTGCTCTAAGTCCTGTCGTACGAGCCCTAGTAGACCCGGATGGAGCAATGAGAGATATAAGGAACTTGGACAATGTAAGAAATTTGCATATTTTACATCTTTCTTATCTAACAGCTGCTGTATAATGATGCCCTTAAAGAGCTAGCATTATGATTTCCCTTTTCTCCAGATAAGCTTCTCCGACTGGTTTATATCGAAGGGGGGTACACGAGCAAGCATCCAGCGAATGTGGGACCCTGTGGCTTATGCCCTTGGGTTCATCGACTGCGACAACATCAGCGCTCGTTGCATGCTCACCATATTCTCTTTGTTCGCCACAAAAACCGAAGCTTCCTTGCTCAGGATGCTCAAAGGCTCTCCTGAAGTTTTCTTGAGTGGCCCCATAAGGAAGTACATAGAAGACAAAGGCGGGAGGTTTCATCTCAGGTGGGGATGCAGGCAAGTGCTATACGAGACTTCTCCTGATGGCGAAACATACGTGACTGGTCTTGCTGTTTCCAGAGTACGTCTCTCTCTGGCTCTCCTCAATTTGAAAGGGTTGGTTCTATTTTGCATAAGGATGGCTAACCAGTTTTGGTTTTCTGGTTAATCGAACTGATTAAATACTGTATATAAAAGCACTTTGGTTTCGGTTTTGGTTAATTGGATTTTCGTTACATACCAGAGAGTTGCATTTCAGCTAAAAACAAAAGCAAAGTGAAAATCGGTTTATATTGGTCCTTCAGTGTTAATATGTTTTTCGGTTTCCAGTTAACCTTTTTATTATTGGTTTTAGGAAGTGATCAATGGTTTGGTTATGGTTTCCAAAACATTAACTCCTTGATCCGATTCTTGGATTCTGGGTTTGGTTGACTTGACCAAACCGGTATACCAGCTGTAACTTTGCCATTTGGATTTTAGTGAAATGACTGTTTTTCGACCTTTTTGCAGGCTACTAACAAGCAAACCATCAAAGCTGATGCTTACGTTGCAGGTTGATAAATTCCTCTTCTTTATGATGTTCTCTCTGTTACTTTCCGCCCCAATGATCGTCCTGAATCGATTCGACTCTTCTTCTGTAGCATGCGACGTCCCTGGGATAAAGAGACTGCTCCCTAAAGAATGGAGGGAATCCAAATTCTTTGACAACATCTATGAGTTAGTGGGAGTGCCTGTTATCACAGTTCAACTTAGATACAATGGCTGGGTTACCGAGTTGCAGGATCTCGAGCGATCAAGGTGAGTGAGACTCTCTTCCTCGATTGGAAAGTGTGCTTTCCTTGTTGCATCCCTTCCTGACATTTGGTTTCGGTTTCACTGTTAAAAGGCAATTGACGCAAGCTGCAGGGTTGGATAACCTTCTATACACACCAGATGCAGACTTCTCGTGTTTTGCTGACCTAGCTCTCACTTCTCCTGAAGACTACTACATCGAGGGACAAGGTTCACTGCTCCAGTATGAAACAAAATTCTTAACTCCACTATTTCCCTGAATGAATCAAATGTCCATTATGTTGAAGGTAACGACTTCAACGAATCCGTCCCTTTCAGGTGCGTCCTAACGCCAGGTGATCCATACATGCCTCTAACGAATGACAAGATCATAGAGAGAGTCACTAAACAGGTTGTGAGTTTGTTCCCATCGTCCCAAGGCCTCGAAGTCACCTGGTCGTCTGTAGTGAAAATCGGACAGTCGTTGTACCGAGAAGGACCAGGCAAAGATCCATTCCGGCCGGATCAGAAGACTCCCGTGAAAAACTTCTTCCTTGCCGGTTCATACACAAAACAGGTAAAAACAAGTCACTTTTTAGTTCTAGCTTGGCACTGCAGAATGCTTTTAACAGTTTGTCGTTGTGGTTTCCTAATTTGATCAGGATTATATAGACAGCATGGAAGGAGCAACTTTGTCCGGCAGGCAAGCTTCAGCCTACATTTGTCAAGCAGGGGAAGAGTTGGTCGCACTAAAGAAGAAGATGGCAGCCGTTGATGAATCTCAAGAAAGCTTGAGATCTGCTTCGGTCACTGATGAACTCAGTCTTGTATAATGCAGCCGATGATCCGTGTTTTTCATGGCAAAGCTCTCTGTATATAGCGCCATTACAGAATGCTCTGGCTCAAAAGAGAAGTTCCTTTCTTGTGCATCTAGTATATAGCCTGTAATAGCCTGTAATATCAAGCAGCGAGAAGCTCATTTTTATCATTGGAAGAGTACAAACGCCGTTTATATAACTAGCTTATAACCCGGCCCGTTGGCCGGAATGTTCATATTTGATAATTTATATTTTTATACTATGTTGAAGTATATCAATCCGTTTAATTTTATTGGTAATTCTTCCATCGAAATGATACATAAAACAAAAATATATAGGTCAAACTTTCAAATAAATATCATCATCATTTAAAAATGTAAAATATACAATATGCCACTAATCAAAATGAAATGGAGAATTGTTGATTCAAGCCAATATACTAATAGACTCGATCAAAGTATTAAGTCACAAAATTAGACCTAAAGATCCAATAGCCACCACTACCCGTTGTACAACCAAATTTTTATCTCAAGAGACATATGTTTCAACGAAAAATTAAATTTCTAATCCTCCTTCTACAACTCCATTTATTGAACTCCATTCTATTCGTCATGGATTGATATTGGCGTTGAAATATTCTACTTGCGTAGCTTAAATCTCCAAGAATAAAATCGTAGTGCCAAGATATACCGTAAGATTCAAAAGGCGGCCTTGTACTGAGAAGTGAAAGGGGCGCAAACTATGCACGATGGAGGAAATTTCAGAGGAAGTTATAAAGAGATAAGAACAAAGATAACAAAAGCACAAAATTTAACTTGAAAAATGAAAGACACACACTACAGGAAATCTGATATTTAAACACGGGATCTTAATCACGGGGATGTTTCCCGTATTAAGAAGTATACTAATAGGTACGGGAAAAATTATTGTATTTGATTGCATAGTTCTAAACACGGGATTCTATTTAGTTATTTTTAGTCTTCATTTCCCGTGACTACTTGAAGTTAGAGTTCTAAACACGGTTAATTACCATGAATAATGTGACAATTCATCTTTCCAAAATTTAGGTGAAAATCAAGATGAACTTAAAAACAATCATAAAACAAATTGATTTGGCCCCTACGAGAACGTTAATATGTATAGATAATAAAAATTTAACTTAAAAAATTTAATTGGGATTGGGGACTCTTTCAATTGGGATTTAATCTCTAATGTTTGGGATTTAATCTCTAATGTTCTAGCTCACCAATTGTCATTTAAGCTCTGATTGACCTAGCAGGGATTTAATTTCTAATGTTAATGGGGATTTAGTCTCCCGCCAGCTACAAATAATTGGAGACTAATCTCTAATAAACAAATATATTGGACCCAGCTTTGTATCCAACTCCAGCCAAAAATTTTAGTCTTCCCTGCCGCTTTCCTTATCCCCGCCAGCGCTTTCCTTATCCCGCTCAGCCAAAATTTTCGTTCCAAAAATTATCCCCGCCAAGCTGCCGCCAAATAAATCTCCCCGCCAGCTCTCCCCGCCAGTTTTTTCCATGGTTTTCGTTCCATAAAACTCTCCCGCCCACTGATTTCCCGCCTCTCCAATCCTAAATTTCGCGGCCCGACTTTTGCCTCCTTAAGACAAAAACATGGCTCACCCAAATTCTAAAATTACGCCCAAATCTTTGTCGAGCCCTCCATCCCAAAAAAGCTCTCTCCGTTTTTCATGTCTTAAAAACATTGTTGCCTGCAAATTTCTTCTTCTATCAATCTCAATCTAAAACACCGTTCCCTGCAACTAAGGTATGTCTTCTAGAATAACTTCCCTTCCTTACTTCCTTCCTTTATTTGGGGATCAACAAGCATGGAAGGTCGATTTTGGGTAGGTGATGAGGGGTGGGTGATCTTTAGGGTAGGGGATGAAGGGTGGGTGATTTTGGGGAAAAGTGAGTCTGATAATCTAATTGCAATCTCAAAATCTGCCGTCTTTATCTGATTTTGGGGAAAGTGGGTCTGATTCTCATTACATCTTTTTCTTTCCATGCAGAGAACATAATGAAGGCTGGACAGAATCTCAAGGTGAATGGTAATCAGAACCAGAAGGTCAAGGGTGCTCAATCTCGTGATAATGGCAAAGGGACAAAAAAAAACAAGAACTCCAGCAAAATATGTTGCACCTGGCTCGCTTGGGAGGAGAGTTCCAAATCGGCCAACTTCATTCTCCACCATAACATGTACATCAGATGTGGCTTCCAAATCTCTTCCTATGCCACGACCACAAGCAACACATAGGAATGGTAGGCACCTTATGTAATTCTTAATAAAACATTACAATTCAGGAATACTACTAACTAGTTGAATCATTTATGAAGCTCCTGATGTAACTAATAATGTGAGTGTTGGGAGAAACACACATTCGCCTCCAGTGGAACCAACAATGGAAGATGCAGAAGTGGAACCAGCTGTTGAGGATGGAGAAGTGGAACCAGCTGTGGCTACTAATGCAGAATCAACTAATAGAGGCAAGTTTGTAACTCAAAGTGCTTGTATCTTTGTTAAGTATGAAGGTATTGATGATTTTATTGCTATTAATGGTGCTGGTTTTTCAAACTATTGGCATTGCAGTTAGAAAGAAAAATGTTCGAGGGAAAAGCATGTGCAAGGCAGTTGCTAGACTTAGGCGTGGTGAAAAGCTTCCAATTGCCTTCTACAACAATCGTGCTGTTGGGGTAAATAGGGCTACTTGGTCAAGCTTTATAGGATTAGTTGTTCGCAATCCTCAAATCTGCTCTTTCCGATCACGAAGATGGAAATCCAAGAGTCGCTCAGAACTTGAGCATATGTGGGCTGCACTTACAGTAAGGAACACACTGTGATTCTATCTTATGGTTGTAGGATATATGTTACTGTATTGTGATGATTCTATCTTGTGATTCATGTAATTCATGTAACAATGTGATCTGTCTTGTGATTCTGTCTATGATACTGCCAAGTAATTCATGTAATTATGTGATTCTGTCTTGTGATTTTGTTTAATGACACTGCCAAGTAATTCATGTAATCAATTTTAAATGACTGCAGGAATATTTCTACAATCCAAATATGATAGACTATAAGCATCACACTTTGATTCATATGCGGGAGCGTTGGAACAAATGGAGATCTGTCTTGTATCATCAATATGCAAAGACATGTGGCAGTCAAGAAGAGGCTTTGAAAAATAAGCCAGATGCTGTAGCTAACAAAGAAGATTGGGAATGGTGTGTGAACCATGTTTTCTACCCTGCTAAGTTTCAGGTTGTTACAGAAATTCGGTCGTGTTCTTGTAATTGTAATTTAGTGGTGCTTATCAAAATAGTGTTTCTAAGGTGTTATATCTACTATTGCCAAGTGTTTTGTTTTGTCAACCATGTCTAGTTTGCTCATATTACAATGTTTCCTTATTACAGACTGTTCTGCAACAGACTATTTGGCAGCAGATTGTTTGGCAGCATCAAAGGAACTAATGATGTAAGTCAAGTCAGGAAAGCAAGTGCAATGTGATTGGTTTTAGCAAATGCTAGGAACTCTCTCAATATGTTTGACACTGTTATAGATATACCTATAGTAGTGGATCATATTATTGTTGAAAATTGTATAAGTGTAGGTTCTGTTGCAACTCTACTCATTTCAGACTATCTAAATAATTTTACAAGCATGTTCACTAAGTAATGGTGCTAATTCTCATGCACTTTTGTTGTTGCTGTGCTTTTAGGGTTGGTGAGCTATAGGAAGTTGTAAATACAAGAAATGAATTGGAGATATTCTGAGTTGTTATGGTGCAAGGATTGGCAAAGATCGTTGAATGGGCAGAGTGCAAGAAAGCGAAGTAGACTGTACCATTATTGAATTATTAGCTACAACGTTTGAAACTCTTTTGTTTGCTATATTATTACACTATTGTTGACAAGAATCTTTAATACAATCGGTTTATAATTAGTAGCAAGAAAATTTGTTGTTATTGCTTTAGAGAAACACTCTGGCCAGGGGTATGCATGTAATCACAGAAAATACTGTGACTAGTGGTTTCTGGGTAGTCATGGGAAATCCCGTGTTTAGTGATCTCCATGTAGTCATGGGAATTACAGTGACCAATGGTTTGTAATTTGTCACGGGAAATGCCGTGAATAGTGGTTTGTATCTAGTCACGGGAAAATACCAAGACAAATGTTTTGTAATTAGGCACGGGCAATTGCCGTGACTAGTGACAAATATTCAGTCACGGGATAACTAGTCACTACAAGTACTAAAAACCGTGACCGATGATTGACATCTAGTCACGGGAAACGATTTTAACACGGTGATTACCGTAGTAAAAGGTGTACTTCCCCGTCTCTGATTGAGTTATTTTGTTGAATTTGTGTTTCAATATTAGGTATCAATCACGGTGCTCACCGTGACTAATCTGTGCAAATTAGCACGGGAAAATGTACCGTGTCTAGTTACAATTAGGCACGGTATATATTTCCCGTGTTCTTTACAATTAGACACGGAGCTTTATATTACGGTAAATTTCCCGTGAGTAAAGTTTTTAAACACGGGAAACACACTTTTAAATACGGGATTCACCATGATTAAAGAGATTGTTTCCTGTAGGTACAATACGTAGTAACAAAATTTGTTTATTCCATGTTAGCCAATTACCAATTTACCTTTAGTGAAAATTAAGGAAAGAGAATGAATTCTAAAATTGAGAAATTTACATGAAACTCTACTATGAAAATTGAAGTGTCAAGCACCATAAAAATACATACGGTAGACTTAGTGAGCTTGCTAAACATGATGGAAAAGTCATATGGGTTTCAAAGTTGAATTTCGTCTATGTTTTGTACTAAAAAATATTCAACAAATTTCTTTAGTGTAGTTGGTTGTGATTGTTGTCTTGGTTTGAAAAGATCTAGGTTCGACAACTAATATATTGATATTTTTTATATGAGATAAATAATTAATTGTAAAGTACACACAACTCTACCATATATTATTGGAGGATACAATTCTCTCAATTTATTTGATCAATGGATAACCTGTAGGAAGTACTGACAATTAGGGGAATTGAGAAGAAGAATTGAGTTTAGGGATTGAGAATTGAGAAGGAAAGGGGGAAGAACGCATGAGAGTTGAGAGAGAAGGCAATGAGGATTTTCAATGTTCTTTTTTCCATAATCTCAAAAGTAATCATCTTCCCTTCTAAAATAGGGATGCTCAAATAATAAATAATTATAGAATTGCTCCAAAGTCTCTAGCCCTATCCGGCCGAGTTTCTCACATTCTCCTTCTTTAGAAGACCGACCTAGCCCTCAAGGTCGAACGCCAAATAGGTTTTGCAAATGGTCGCTCTGTCCTCCCACGTAGAATCCTCCAGTCCCATGTGTTGCCAACAAATCACGCTCTCGTCAGTCAGCCGAGAGCACACTTTAACCCACCTCGTATTCAGCACCTTCAGTGGATCTAACTCGAGCCCACCATCTTTACTAACGGGCGGCACCGACGGCTGATCCAGTATGGTGGCATCGTGGTACCCGCGCAGTAAGGATATATGCAATCTCGGATGAATATGCGTCGTTGCAGGTAGCTGCAGCTTATAGGCCACGACTCCAATTTTCTCCACCACCTAAAGTATCGTGATGCTAGCTTCTGACACGCCCTCCATAATACTTAGTCTACCGGTACGGATGCAATCGTAGCATAACCCAATCACCGACCTCGAACCGACGTTTGAGAGCTAACTGCTACATCCGATTGTTGGAGGCAGCCAAGTTTGCAAAAGTTGGGCCAATGTCACGCCTCCCGCGGCCAGCCATCTGTCTGCCGCGTCCGCTGAACTAGTACTAGACTAGTAACGTATCAAAGCTGGTGGGGATCGTTCATATAGTTCCTCAAACGGTGTCGTCTAGATCACTATGTGGTAGGTGGTGTTATGCCAAAGCTCCACCCCAGGCAACATGGTTAACTAGCTGCATGGATACTGATGTGCAAAACACCATTGATATTGGTCTAGGTGCTTGATACGCTGAGCTCATCCGAAAATCGGCTTTAGTTAAGGCAAATACCTCATGCAAAAACCGCTCCAGAAACAAGGCATCTCTATCACTAACAATCGATCGTGGGAACGGTGTGTCGCACCAGTTCAAGCACAAACTGCTCGGCCATAGTCTTCGCCTTATATAGATTGGACAAAAGCCATGAGCACACTTGGTGAGCCTCTCCACCACCACCAGCAATCATGTCTTGCCTCCCAAAGGTGGCAATCCCATAATGAAGTCCATGCTAATGTCCTCCCACACCCGCTCCAACACTGGTAATGCTGAAGAAGTCATGTAGGCGGCAGCAGCGAAGCCTTGACTCACAAGCATGTGTCAGTGTCACAAGAGGCTACATAAGCTTGCACCTCTCTCGCCATCTGCAACCAATAGAGAATCCCACACACAATGCCTTCCTAAGGTAGCAAACATTGTCGACTCACAAAAGAGGAAGAAAGTAGTAGATCCCTCACGTACCAATACTCAAACTATGCAACTATCACCTAAGATGCACTACACATCAATCAATCTAATCAAGTGAAAGCACATTGAGTAGGTAATTGCAAGGACAAGGTGCTTTGGAACCCTCAAATTTGAAAGTTTTGGGTGTAACATTCTAGGTTCCAAAAACACTAAAATTTCTCCATTCATCACCACAACATAAAAACCATTACTAGCATACACTCCCACAAGCGTTTATCAACGTCTTACATTCACAAATAAGGGAGGATATTAGCAATCAATGATTCAACCAATCATGATAGTCCTTCAAACAAACACAAACACCCCCCACACTTAGAGCAACACATTGTCCTCAATGTGGGAGTTTCCAAAGAAAAGATGGTGAGTGTTACCATAGATCGGGTTGTGGGTTGGTGATGGTTCACAAGTGTAATCTTTGTCTTTCTGGTGATTTTCACAACAATAAAATCACATAAGGATTTTCACAACGATAAAGCGCATAAGATGGAGAGGAAGGCTAATAGGAGTTATAGGTATGAGATTGTCTAGTGTACGACATACACCAGATTTTGCATGGTGTACGATAAAACCATATATATATATATACACAATAATTACTACTAGTGCTAGTTAATTAAAGTATAAAAAGTAAAAAGAAAATAAAGTGATAATTAAACATTATTTTAATTAAAATAAATAAAAGCAAAGAAAAAAGAAAAGATAGAACGTAGGCCCTGGATGCCTAGAACTCATTCCTCCTTTGAGTTGTCTTCAAGATGGTAGTCGACCTCTGAGACAAGGTGGTCACCAACTGACGGAGGTGAAAGTGGAAAATCCTTCTTAACTTCGCTTGGATCCATTTGCATCTTCTTCATTATCATGTGGAGGTGAAAGTGGAAAATCCTACTTAACTTCGCTTGGATCCATTTGCATCTTCTTCATTATCATGTGGACCATGATCTCCCCATGATTCTCTTGCTTCAGCAGAAAATGGATCTCCCCATGATCCTCAATAAGTTTGGAGTTCTGCTTATTGAGAATGGCATTTTGCTCAATGAGGGTTGCAATCTGGGATGCCTGAGAGCTAGAGAATGATGAACCCAGTTGAGGCCCTTGAAGTCTGAGTGGTCGAGGGGTTATGCCCTTTATGGTCTTCTTGCCATTGGTAGTCTCCAGAAGCTGCATCTTGGATAGGTGATCCCTAGAAAACATCTATGTGGAGCGTATGATCATGCACTTCATTATTCTAGGTTGATGCCAAAATAGCGTGCAAGACGAGTAACATATGCTCCTCCGTGGATGGTCTTCACTGTCAGATTGGTTATTTTCTTGTATAGGGTTTTGAGAATGACCAATCCAATATTTAGGTGAGGCTTGACGAACATCGACCTCAAAAGGTCGAGATCTCGCTTGGTCAGGTTGCTCGTAGACTTCTCCTCAGGAGCGACCGAATAGGAGATGATGTTGTGGAGAATGCGCCATTCAGGCTTCAAGGATGTACTCTTTGTAGGTTTTGGGTTAAAAGGTGCTTGATGATCTGAATTTTTAAGATGGCTAGTCAAGAAATCCTCGGCATGACGACAAGAGGCCAACTCTTCTCCTTGGAGGGCAAGGCCTTCTTGAGTGAAGATGAAACCAGGAGGGTAAATATCCATAGCCTCGGTGAATTCATTGAAGCTCATAACCCTTGGTACACCTCCAAGACTGAATGAAAGAATTCTTGGAAAA